CCTTTTATGAAGCCAGTATCATCCTGATACCAAAGCTCAACAAGGACACAAAAAGACAATTACAGACCAATATCCCTGATGAACATTAGTGTAAAAATCTTCAACAATACCAGAAAACTGAATCCAACAACATATAAAAAAGATAATACACCATGACCAAGTAGGTTTTAATCCAGGAATACAAGGACGGTTCAACACTTACAAATCAATAAATGTGATTCACCACATAAACAGAATTAAAAACAAAACCATATGATCATCTCCATAGATGCATAGAAGCATTTGGTAAGATTCAGCATCCCTTCATTAAAAACCCTCAACAAACTAAGCTTCAAAAGGAACATATGTCAAATTAATAAAAGCCATATATGACAAACCCACAACCCACATTATACTGAATGGGAAAAAGTTGAAAACAGTCTCCCCAAGAACTGAAACAAGACAAGAATGCCGACTTTCGCCACTCCTATTCAACACAGTACTGACAGTCATAGTCAGAGCAATCAGGCAAGAGAAAGAAATAAAAGGTATCTAAATTGGAAAGGAAGAAGCCAAATTATCTGTTGATAATATGATCTTATATATAGAAAATGCTAAAAACTCCTTCAAAAGACTCCTAGATTTGATAAATGAATTCATAAAGTTTTAATATTAAAACAAATCAATGTAGAAATATCAGTAGCCTTTCTATACACCATAATGATCAAGCTGAGGACCAAATTAAGAAGGCAATCCATTTACAATAGCGTAAAAAACAAAACAAAACAAAACAAAAAAAAACACCTAGGAATGTTCAACCAAAGAGGTGAAAGATCTCCACAAGGAAAACTACAAAAAACTTAAGAAATTATAGATGACACAAGTAATGTTCATGGATCACAAGAATAAATGTCATTGAGATGACCATACTTTCCAATATATCGATTCAATGCAATTCCTATCAAACTCCCAGCGACATGTTTCACAGAATTAGAGAAAACAATCCTAAAATTCTTATGGAACCAAGAAAGAGCCCTAATAGCCAAAACAATCAGAAGCAAAAAGGACAAATTTGTATGCATCACATTACCTGACTTCAAATTATACTACCAGGATATAGTAAACAAAACAGCATGGTACTAGTACAAAAATAAACATATAGATCAATGTAACAGAATAGAGAGACCAGAAATAAAAATATATATCTACAGCTAGCTGATCTTCCACAAAGTCAATAAAAACATACACTGGGAAAAGGGCAGTCTGTTCAATAAATGGTGCTGGGAAAGCTGGCCAGCCACATGCAGGAGAATAAAACTGGACCCTGTCTCTCACCATATCCAAAAGCTAACTCAAGATGGAATAAAGATTTAAATGTAAGACCCAAAACTGTAAAAATCCTAGAAGAAAATCTAAGGAAAACTTTTCTGAACATTGGCCTTGGCAAAGAATTCATGACTAAGACCTCAAAAGCAAATGCAAGAAAAACAAAAATAAACCAATGTGATTTAATTAAAAAGTGTCTACACAGCAGAAGAAGTAATCAAGTTAACAGATATCCTGCAGGATAGGAGAAAATATTTGCAAAGTACACATTCAAAGGGCTAATATCCAGAACCTACAAGGAACTCAGTTTAAACAAAATAATCCCATTAAAAAATAGAGAAAGAACATGAGCAGACATTTTTTAAAAGAAGACATACAAATAGTCAAGAAGCATTAAAAAAATGCTCATTACCACTAGGCAGAGAAATGCAAATTAAAGCCTCTGTCAAAAAACCCAAATGTTCGCAAAGATTCAGAGAAAATAGAACACTTGTACACTGTTGGTATGAAAGTAAATTAGTAAAAAAATCTATGAAAATATTAGATTTCTCAAAGAACTAAAAATAGAACTACCATTTGATCTAGCAATCTCACTACTGGGTATCTACTCTAAGAAAAAAAAAAAAAAATCAAAGATACCAGCACTCCTGTGCTTATTGCAGCAGTATTCACAATAGCAAAGATATGGAATCAGCATAAGCGTCTATTAATGGATGGTTGGATAAATGTGGTGTGTGTGTATACACATGAAGAGTATTCATAAAAAACAATGTATTTTTCAGCAATATGGATAGAAGTGGAGGCCATTATCTTAAGTGAAATAAGTCCGACACAGGATAACAAATACATGTTCTCACTTATAAGTCAGAGCTAAATAATGTGTACACATGTACATATACAATGGAATAATAGACATTGGAGACCCAGAAGGGTGGGAAGGTAGGAGGGAATTGAGGGATGGAGAATTCCTTTAATAGATACAATGCAGACGATTCAGGTGATGGCTCCACCAAAAGCCCAGACTTTACTACTACACAATATATCCATGTAACAAAATGGAATGCAAAGTATGTATTGAGTCAATATAATATTTCTATTAATTTGGCAAATATTTGAAAGAATTTTTATTGATAGTTGGAAGGAAAAAGACACAATATCACAGTGGATGACATTTTTTTACAGCCTTTTAGAGGATCAATTTGACTATAAACTTTAGATTATATATCTTTTTGTCTAGGAGTCCTACTTTAAGACTGTCTTCTACAGAAATATTTATGGATATGCACAATATGATATGGACATTTATCAAAGTATTGCTTAATGTTTTTAAAAAAGCCTGGAAGCCTAGATTTCTGTCAACAGGAAAAGGTTAAATATAAACCATGACGTATCCATACAAAGGTATATGGCAAAAGAATAATTACTCGATGTGATCCCAGAAAAATGATTAAGGATCTGGAGAAGAAGAACTTATCATGGATTATCTTGGTGGAGGTGGGGTGGCTAATACAATTGCACAATATCCTCCTAACGTAGGAGCAGAGGGAGATGAGGCACAGACACCCAGAGGAAAAGACATAGCAGGTGGCAATGAGGCCACAGAGGTGGAGATGAGAGTCATGAGGCCACAACCCAAGAAATACCGGCAGCCACCATAGCTGGAAGAGACCATAACAGATCTTCCCCCTAGAACCTTTCTACCAACACCTTGATTTCAGTTATTTGATGTATTAGTCTGTTCTCACACTGCTAATAAAGACATACCCAAGACTGGGTGATTTATTAAGAAAAACAAGTTTGATGGACTCACAGTTCCACATGGCTGGGGAGGCCTCACAATCATGGCGGAAGGTGAAGCGGGAGCAAAGACACGACTTACATGCTGGGAGGCGAGAGGGCATGTGCAGGGGAACGCCCCTTTATAAAACCATCAGGTCTCTGGAGACTTATTCACTATCATGAGAACAGCGAAGGAAAGACCCACCCCATGAATCAGTTACCTCCCATCAGGCCCCTCCCATAACACATGGGAATTACAGGAGCTACAATTCAAGATGAGATTTGGGTGGGGACACAGCCAAACCATATCATTTGGCCTCTCAAAGAGCTGTTTTGTTGGTTTTTGTTGGGTTTTTTTTTGTTTTTGTTTTTTTTGTTGTTGTTTTTTTTTGAGATGGAGTCTTGTTCTGTCACCAGGCTGGAGTGCGGTGGCACGATCTCGGCTCGCTGCAAGCTCCGCCTCCCAGGTTGAAGCAATTCTCCTGCCTCAGCCTCCCGAGTAGCTGGGGCTACAGGTACATGCCACCACGCCCGGCTAATTTTTGTAGTTTTAGTAGAGATGGGGTTTCACCATGTTGGCCAGGATGGTCTCCATCTCTTGACCTCGTGATCTGCCTGCCTCAGCCTCCCAAAGTGCTGGGATTACAGGTGTGAGCCATCGTGCCCAGATTTGTTTTAAGCTATCTAGTTTGTCATACAATTGGTTAACAGTGGCCCTAGGAAACTACTGCAGCACACAACCTTCATTGCAAGACTCAGCATCAATTTATAGGCCCAGGATACTGAATGCTAATGCTGTCACACACAGGAGAAATGATGTTATGGGAGGATAGAAGGGAAGAGAGATACCTACCATGACAAGAAGTCAGTAGATAACTGATTGGAAAACTAAGAAATAGCAGGAAATATGAATCATTTATGACCATAGAAACAAATATCAGAAGTAGCCCCCAAGAGTAGAGCAGACCTCAAGAGCTGGCCTGGAGGATTGATGGTTTGCATTACAAGTTCTGTTTCTGTGACTCTTTGGGGCTTGCATACATGCACAGGTATTTCTTTGATAAAACTAAACTTAGTACTAGAATGTGTGTTTTACTTTCTCAGTGTGAAAATCTCCATAGGGCCACCGACACAAAAACTACAGATGCCTATTAATTCACCTGTTAATAGATAACCTCAATATCAGTTATTTAACAAAAGCACAAAGTCCAGAAGCAGACACCAGTGTGTGAGAACCTGCAGGAAAAGCAGATAATCAAGTTTATAGTAACCTATTTTTCTGTAGGAGATTGGTCAGGGTGGTGGGAGAAATTGTAGGAAAAATGCAAACCTTGGAAGGCAGTGGGGTGCGGGGGGGTTGCAAAGCTTCAGCTAAGAATGAGTTGAAGGCAGTGGTTCTTACCCCGGGGCAAAGGGTAAGAAGTAGGTACAAAAGAATGCAGGGGAGTTTATCTTAATAGCTTGTTTATCATGTCTCCAGAAACACGGCCTTTCATCACCCATGTGCAGGGGCGGGGCATGACCATGTGAATTGCCCACAAGTATGTTGACTCAAGGCCTTTGTCATTAAATCTGTTCTAAATAAATGCCCGCAATGCCACCTTGTCAGGGCCACAGCTGCTAACTCTTTACAGCACCCTCCTCCGTGTCTGGGCAGCCCGGTCCCCTAGCCTGCTCTTTTGCTGGATATCTGTGTCTGAGTACATTTTTTCATCCATCATTCGGCCAGGGTCTGTGGATTAGACCTGGCATTTTTCAATAAATTGTACTGGAAGAAGTAGTTGGGAAGAGCTTTTAATTTCTTGCATACCATAAATTGAAGAAAATGTCAGTAGGAGGCAACTCTACTCTGGACCTAGTGAAACCAGTGCTCATCGAGCAACCTGTCCATTACCAACATAAAGTAGTGTACACACCTGCTTCTTCTAGCATCTCTGGTTCTTCTTGGTTTAGATCTTGGCATCCCTGGACCTGTACATTCCCTGAAATAAACAGTGATGATGAGATATGAAAATACCCCAGACTGAAAATGGGCCACAATGATAAAGGCTCTCAGTAGAACCAACTCTATGGCAAACTTGAGAGTGAAGAGACTGGAAGAATCGGAACGCACAGTTTATATTTATTTAAGAGATGGAGTCTCGCTCTGTCACCCACGCTAGAGTGCAGTGGTACCATCTTGGCTCACTGCAACCTTTGCCTCCCGAGTTCAAGAGATTCTCCTGCCTCAGCCTCCTGAGTAGCTGGGATTACAGGCACACACCACCAGGCCCGGCTGATTTTTGTATTTTTAGTAGAGATGGGGTTTCACCATGTTGGCCAGGCTGGTCTTGAACTCCTGACCTCAGGTGATCTGCCCGCCTTGGCCTCCCAAAGTGCTGGGATTATACACATGAGCCACTCTGCCCAGCCATAAGTTATTATTTAATAAATACTGGAAGAACTAGATGGAAAGAGCTTAAACTTTTTTATGTACCATAAATTCAAGAAATTTCAGTGTAGGCAGCAAACGTGGACCAATGAAACGAGTGCTCCATCAAGCAACCTGTCAATTATCGACAAAGTAATGTACACACCTGTTTCTTCTTCTGGTTCCTCTGGTTCTTCTTGGTTTGGATCTTGGCATCCCTGGGTCTGCATGTTCCCTGAAATAAACGGTGACGATGAGATATGAAAGTACCCCAGACTGAAAATGGGCCAGCAGGAACAGAAGTCCCCAGTGGAACCACCTTTTTCTATGGCAAATGGGATTGAAGTGACTGGAAGAATCAGAATGCGTAGTTTATATTTTTTATTTATTTTTTGAGACAGAGTCTCACTCTGTCGCCCAGGCTGGAGTGCAGTGGTGCAATCTCGGCTCACTGCAATCTCCACCTTCCGGGTTCAAGTGATTTTCCTGCCTCAGCCTCCCGAGTAGCTGAGATTACAGGCACCCACCACGCCTGGCTAGTTTTTGTGTTTTTAGTAGAGATGGGGTTTCACCATGTTGGCCAGGCTGGTCTCGAACTCTTCACCTCAAATGATCCGCCTGCCTTAGCCTCCCAAGGTGCTGGGATTACAGGCATGAGACTTTGTGCCTGACTGTAAGTTATTATTTAATAAGAAATACTGGAAGAACTAGATGGAAAGAGTTTTTAATTTTTTTATGTACTATAAATTCAAGAAATTTCAGCGTAGGCAGCAAATGTGTACCAATGAAACGAGTACTCCATCAAGCAACCTGTTGATTACTGACGTAAAGTAGTATATACACCTGTTTCTTCTTCTAGCTCCTCTGGTTCTTTTTGGTTTGGATCTTGGCATCCCTGGGTCTGCACGTTCCCTGAAATCAACAGGGATGATGAGATATGTAAGTACCCCAGACTGAAAATGTGCCAGCAATAACAGAAGCCCCCAGTAGAACCAACTTTTTCTATGGTAAATGGGATTGAAGAGACTGGAGCAATCAGCATGCCCAGTTTACAGTAAGTTATTATTTAATAAGCAATACTGAAAGAATTAGTTGGAAAGTTTTTAATTTTTTATGCACTATAAACTCAAGAAATTTCAGAGTAGGCAGCGGATGTGGACCAGTGAAACGAGTGCTGCATCAAGCAACCTGTCCGTTATGAACTTAAAGTAGTGGTACACACCTGCTGCTGCTTCGAGCATCTCCACGTCTTCTTGGGTTGGACCTTGGAGCTCCTGGGTCTGCACATTCCCTGAAACAAACAGTGATGATGACATGTGAAAATAACCCAGACTGAAAATGGACCAGCAATAATGGAGGCTCTCAGTAGAACCAACTCCTTCTTTGACAAACTGGAGGTTGAAGGTCTGATTCCTCCAGTTTTCTCAAGCTCCATTAGCCCAACTGAAGATGCAGTGTGCACTCGGGAAAGTCCACAGCACACGCTAAGCACATTCCTGCCTGAGGTCCTTGGCTCCAGCCCTCCCCGCTGTGTGGATCCCCAGATATCTGCTTAGTTCACTCTCAAGGCTCTGCTCAAATCTCACTTCCACAATAGTGCCTGATAAGCCTGATTATGACTACCACCTATATCTTTAATCACATACCTTAGCCTCTCCCCATCTGCCTTATCCTCCATTTGCACTTGTCACGTTTCAACACACCATGTGATTTATGTATTATGTCTATTGCCCGTCTAGGGAGATGGCTAGTCTGTTCATGGATTCATCCCAAATGTGTAGAACAGTACCCCACACAGAGAAGCTGCTCTAATATCTTCGGAATAAAATACCATAGGAATAAAAGCACCAAGAATTGGGTTCAAACCAAGTCCCTCAATTTGCTGCACCATCACCACTCTGAATGTCCCCCTTCCTCGTGAGCTAGAAGACTTCGTCTATGACTCAGTGGCCAAACTCATTTTACTGTGTAGTACATAGTTGCTATGGGCCAATACCTTATAAGGGATTTGCATCTAAAGAGACATGGCTCTAATATTTACAACTCCATTGACTGTCACTGTTTACATGGCTTGTTCTGGTTAGCATGCTGAGTCCTGTACTTCCTCCAGATGTTCCATGTTCCTTCAGAGAACAAGAATCCATCCTTCTCCAACCATGGTAGCCTAGGCCAAAGAATCCCAGCTCTCTGAAGCTCTACAAACCCTACCTATGGAGTCTGAGTCCTATGTCCACATACTTTAAGCTGAAGTCTGTCCTGAATTCTAACCCTCCTAGAAGCAGGGAACCCAAGTGGGAACTTTTTCCTAGGCATAACCCAAGCAGAAGAAAAGTAGACGATTTTCCCCCATTGCTGGCTCTGGTTTATCCAAAAGCCAACTGTCTGACATGTGGCATTCCTCTGTTGCAAACGAATCCAACACCGTGAGCCTTCCAGGTGATAGCTTTACTGTCAAGGATCAGGCATCACCATCTGGATCTTAATAGATGAAGACTCTAGATTTAGCTGGGACCACCTGCCGTAAGAGCCACGCTGTTCTAGATGAACAGCCTAGCAGGACCAGTACATGGCTTCAAAGAGAAAACAAAGGTTAAAAATTAGTAAGTTTTTGCTTATTCTCCCTAATGCTTAGGGAACTTTGCAAGGACATCAATAAATAGCAAAGAGCAGGTGTATGGAAGTTCCACCAGTCCCTCACCAGGCCTAGGTATTCCTCCATTCTCTGGTGAGGCGCACTTATCTGAGTATGTTTTAAATGCCAGAGGAGCATGTTTTTAGATCACCAGCCTATTCTTCCTACACCCAACATTACTCCCCCAGGCCCCATCGATTTACTTAGTAGGGTCTTTATCCTAATCCTAGCCACCCCTGAATGGAGGGAAGCACGGGTGGTTTACACATAAATATGCACTTAAGTCAGTGTGGTCCCTATTCCCATTGCATGTGTTAAACCTCACTGCCAATGTGGAGGATGATGGGGGAAAGTTTGGCCTTGTCTTCAAGGTTGCCCCCAAAAAATGCTTTAGTGGGAAGCGATTCCTACATAATTAAAAATGCAATGCAGAAAGAATATAGAGTACTTTTAAACGTTTAAATGTTTATGTATATAACAAAATAACTTTGAAAAGTATGAATTCTACCCAGGCATGGCCAAATGATTTTTGACAAAGTTGCAGAAGCAATTCAATAGAGAAAGCTCTTTTCAACAAACAGTGCTGGAGCCAATGGATATCTATACACGGAAAAAATAAAGAAAAGGGATGGCAACCTAAACTTTACACCTTATTCAGGAGAGAAAAAAAAAAAAAAAAAACCAACCCAAAGGAGAGAATAGATTTAAGTATAAAAGGTAAAAACCAGCCCAGCACGTTGGCTCACACCTGTACTCCCAGCACTTTGAGAGGCTGAGGCAGGCAGATCATGAGGTCAGGAGTTTGGGACCAACCTCGCCAGCATGGGGAAACCCCGTCTCTAATAAAAATAGAAAAATTAGCTGGGCATGGTGGCAGGTGCTTGTAATCCCAGCTACAGGGGCTGAGGCAGGAGAATCACTTGAACCCTGGAGGCAGAAGTTGCAGTGAGCCAAGATCATGCCACTGCACTCCAACCTGGGCTACAGAGCAAGACTCCATCTAGGAAAAAAAAAAATAAATAAAAGTTAAAACTATGACACATTTGCCTTTGATTATTCTCTTTTGGCTATGAAATAAAGTCTAATTCCTTTTAAAATAATCCCAATTCTGACTTCCATTTGTATACCTATGGAAGCCAGTATACAGGGCACTAAGAACCATCTGATCCACCAGTGGAAGAAATAGATTATTCGACTGCAAATTTGCAGACATATCCTTGGGTGGGGTGGAGGGTGTGTGTGTAGTGAAGTGACACTCTCCCAGCTCTGATACTGCTGGCGAGGCACCATGCTTAAACAATCACTCATAAACCACCAGGGCAAGTGACGCTATCAGATAAAAAACCACCCCAAAGATCAACTAACATGGGAGTTCCTTCTCCGTGCCCAATGCCTTCTAAGCATTTCACCCTAGAAATGTAGAGATTGGAACAGTGCACCCAGTTTAAGAATTGCGGCCCCGTGGTAAGATCATTTGTCCAAGGTTACCGTTCATCAGCTGGAACTAGCCTTTGAATCCAGGCATCCTGACTCTAGAACCTGAGCCCTTAAGCCAATAATCCCTAAAAGACAGTACATGGGTCCCTGTATACACATGTGTGTCCACAAACTCACTCTCAAATGCATATCCCACAGCACTGGTCAAGTACAGAGATACTCACGGTACAGTTTCCTAGATGATGGGGCTAACGGGGCACTAAGAACCACAGGATCCACCTGCCGGGCTTTTATCATCCCCTGCATGACTGGTGAAGTGGATGTGGCCCAGGGCTTTCTTCTGCTTGAGAGGTATCTTCCACATGACCCACGCCTTTAGAAGGCCAAGTAGGAACCAGACAAGGACCAGGGAAATGGGGCTCCTCTGATGTGCCCCGCCTGGCCCTGCAGCCTTCAGGCAGGAAGTTGATGCTGCCATTCAGAATCAGCAACAAGAAACAAAGGAGAAACGATTGAGGGGAGGGACACCCCATCTACCCTGATGTGGTTATGAGGCATCGCTTGCCTCTATCCCAATATCTCACGTACCCCATAAATAGATACACCTCTACGTATCCAGAAATTCTGGATACGTAGTAGGTGTAAGTTTAAATTTTAAAAAAATCAGTGACAAGAAACAGGATAAATGCTTGAGGTGATGGACACTCCATTTACCCCTGTGACTATTACCCAACACATGCCAGGATCAAAATATCTCATATACCCCATAAACATATATACCTACTATGCATCCAGAATTTTTAAAATTTAAGTTTAAATTAAAAAAAATCAGTGACAAGAAACAGGATAAATGCTTGAGGTGATGGACACTCCATTTACCCCTGTGACTATTACACCATGCATGCCAGTATCAAAATATCTCATATACCCCATATATATACCTACTATGCATCCAGAATTTTTAAAATTTAAGTTTAAATTAAAAAAAAATTAGTGACAAGAAACAGGATAAATGCTTGAGGTGATGGACACTCCATTTACCCCTGTGACTATTACCCGATGCATGCCAGTTTCAAAGTACCTCATATACCCCGTAAATATATACACCTACTATGTATCCAAAAACTAAGTTTATATTTTTAAAACTCAGTAACAAGAAAGAAAGTTCTTCCTTTGAGAGCATTCTCCTCTGTGCAAATTCCTCTCTCCAGGTCTCTATAAAGAGAGATATTTGGTTGGAAACAGAATTTAAGAGTTCTAAATCTCTATTTCCAATCTCTGATATCCTTTCTTCAGGACTAAAACACCAAAAGCAATGGCAACAAAAGCCGAAATTGACAAATGGGATCTAATTGAACTCAAGAGCTTCTGCACAGCAAAAGAAACTGTCATCAGAGTGTACAGGCAATCTGCAGAATGGGAGAAAATTTTTGCAATCTATCCATGTGAGAAAGGGCTAATATCCAGAATCTACAAAGAAATTAAATTTACAAGAAAAACACAACCAACCCCATCGAAAAGTGGGAGAATTATATGAACAGATACTTCTCAAAAGACGACATTTATGCAGCCAACAGACATATGAAAAAAAGTTCATCATCACTGGTCATTAGAGAAATGCAAATCAAAACCACCTTGAGATACCATCTCACGCCAGTTAGAATGGCAACCATTAAGTCAGGAAACAACAGATGCTGGAGAGGATGTGAAGAAATAGGAACGCTTTTACACTGTTGGTGGGAGTGTAAATTAGTTGAACCATTGTGGAAGACAGTGTGGTGATTCCTCAAGGATCTAGAACTAGAAATACCATTTGACCCAGCCATCCCATTACTGGGTATATACCCAAAGGATTATAAATCATTCTACTATAAAGACACATGTACACATATGTTTATTGTGGCACTGTTCACAGTAGCAAAGACTTGGAACCAACCCAAATGCCCATCAACAATAGACTGGATTAAGAAAATGTGGCACATACATACCATGGAATACTATGCAGCCATAAAAAAGGATGAGTTCATGTCCTTTGCAGGGACATAGATGAAGCTGGAAATCATTCTCAGCAAACTAACACAAGAACAGAAAACCAAACACTATATGTTCTCACTCATAAGTGGGAGCTAGACAGTGAGAACATATTGACACAGGGAGGGGAACATCACACACTGGGCCTGTCAGTGGGTGGGGGGCTAGGGGAGGGATAGTATTAGGAGAAATACCTAATGTACATGATGGGTTGATGGGTGCAGCAAACCACAATGGCATGTGTATACCTATATAACAAAACTGCACATTCTGCACATGTACCCCGAAACGTAAAGTATAATTTAAAAAAAAGAAATTAAGACAGTAAAAAAAAAAAAAAAGAATTCTAAATCACATTCCCTAGTTTTCTGCTTTATATCTGCCTATTACAAACAAGAATATCTGAAGGCTTTAAAAAAGAGAGGGGGACAGGGAAAAAGAGGGTGGAGTGGTGTTCTAGTCTCCATCCCATCCTCCTGCCCACCTGAAGATACACAAAGCCCGAACTTGTATGACTCAGAATGCCCAGTACCCAGGGTTCTGATATGGAAAACTCAGTATTGCCCACTCTCCTTCCCTAGAACTCACTCATTTGAGGGTAGGAGAAGCTGTACATGGTCAAGCCCAGAGCCTTTGGAGACACGCTGCCTGGGCTCACGTCCCAGCTCTCCTGCTCCACCAGCTCTGTGACCTTGGAAAATTTACTTAAGCTGTCTGTGTCTCAGTTTCCTTCTCTGTAAGATACGAATAACAGGAACTCCTTCTAATATTAGTGAAGAGTCAGTACAAATGCATAGAAAGCATTAAGCTAAATACCTGGTTTATGGCCAGGCACGGTGGCTCACACCTGTAATCCCAGAATTTTGGGAGGCTGAGGCGGGCAGATCACCTGAGGTCAGGAGTTCGAGACCAGCCTGGCCAACATGACAAAAACCCATCTCTACTAAAAATACAAAAATTAGCCAGGCATGGTGGTGAGTGCCTGTAATCCCAGCTACTCGGGAGGCTGAGGCAGGGAGAATCCTTTGAACCCGGGAGGCAGAGGTTGCTGTGAGCAGAGATCGCACCATTGCACTCCAGCTTGGGTGACGAGCAAAACTCCATCTCAAAATCAATCAATCAATATCTGGTTTATAACAGGCACCAGGAAACATGAGTATTTTCAACAGATCTCATAGGTGATCAGTTCTGCTATAAAGTGACATATGCATTCTGAAAACTCACCACAGCAGATTCAACTGTGCACTAAAACCACACAGCTTATGGGAAACAATCAGTGATTTTATATATTATATACATTATTTTATATATATAGAATTTTAAGCAGAAGCTTAAACAGCACGGTTTTGCACTTGCTAATTACAAAATACTTTATAACACAATAAACAGCCGGGAGTGGTGGCTCACGCCTGTAATCCCAGCACTTTGGGAGGCTGAGGCAGGCAGATCACAAGGTCAGGAGATCGAGACCATCCTGGCTAACACGGTGACACCCCCGTCTCTACTACAAATACAAAAAACTAGCCGGGCATGGTGGCGGCGCCTGTGGTCCCAGCTACTCGGGAGGCTGAGGCAGGAGAATGGCGGGAACCCGGGAGGCGGAGCTTGCAGTGAGCTGAGATCGTGCCACTCACTCCAGCCTGGGCGACAGAGCGAGACTCTGTCTCAAAACAAACAAACAAAAAAAATCACAATAAACTCTGCAGAATCCTACAACACCACAGTTGGCCCTGCAATACCACAGAAGATGTGGCATGAAACTTTACCTTGAGTAAAACATGAACTTTGTGAACATGGGAAGTGTTGCAGCTTGTGAGTTTTTGTGAAGTGGTGGAAGAACAATCATCTGTAATCGGAAAGTGTAGAATGGGCAAGGCTCGTACTGAGAATGTGGGTAGATGTTTCAGGTGTATGCCTGTGTGCATTTTGTACAATCCTACGTGGCTCTGCTCAGCGGAGTGCAGGGTCAGTGGGTTGGGGGCTGGGGGTGTGTGTGTTGTGCTTTCTTAGTGTTTCTCTTAGGCAAAACCATGCGTAAGCTAACATGAAATTTGTGCTGTGCTCAAGTTGTTCCCTAATACAACAATCACATTGGGACAAATTTGCATTTTTAAAAGAAGGCTGGGCTGGTCGCAGTGGCTCACACCTGTAATCCCAGCACTTTGGAAGGCAGAGGTGAGCAGATCATGAGGTCAGGAGATTGAGACCATCCTGGCTAACACGGTGAAACCCCGTCTCTACTAAAAATAGAAAAAATTAGCCAGGCGTTGGTGGCTCATGCCTGTAGTCCCAGCTATTCGGGAGGCTGAGGCAGGAGAATCACTTCAACCTGGGAGGCAGAGGTTACAGTGAGCTGAGATCGTACCACTGTACTCCAGCCTGGGCCACAGAGCAAGACTCAGTCTCAAAAAAAAAAAAAAAGGAAGGCTTATAACAGAACTGAATGTACCTCTTCCAATTCCCTTTGTCTTTGCTATTCCTTCCCAGGCTACAGCACTAAATCTTTAAGCTTTCAGGCCTTTAAAGGTTACACCGTTGTAGATTATCAAGGAGGATTTGTAGGGGGAGACCAGCCACGTGGAATGACCCCACGGAAACCCAGCGCCTACCTCCTTGCTCTCAGGAGTGCCAAGCAGTCCCCCGCCTTCCTTCTCGAGGCCTCTTACCTTTCATCTTGGCTCTAACTTCCTCACACATTGAGGTCAGATTCATTGTCTGGAAGACGCCGAGGACCACTTTCCACGCCTGACCATTTGGGAAGTGTTCCTCCAAAAGAAAGGACAGATTGAAGGGGTCGGCAGCTCTCAAATTGGCCCAGGGGATATGCGGGAAGTGCCCCTGGGGGGCTGACCAGAAGTCCATCAGCTGTTGGGGTTCCAGGCAAAGCTTGAATTCCTCTAGCTGATACTGATCCAGAGCCACCAGGTAAGGCAGAAGGCCTTGGTTGGTGCCGCCGTCGGCCCAGGTGGTTACAGAAAAGCTCATCTTGCCCGACACGTGCAATTTCTCACTTCAACAATGTTCTCCTACGTCCACAGGACACTTGGGGCCTACAGAAAAGAAGGAGAGAGTTGAAATCATAAGCCATAAATATCACCTCCTCACACTGTCTAGACTACACATTTGAGTATTTTCGCTTCACAGTACTTCCCGCTACTTGTGTTAGTACACTTGTTTTTTGTTTTTTGAGACAGAGTCTCACTCTGTCCCCCAGGCTGGAGTGCAGTGGCACAATCTCAGCTCACTGCAACCTCCGCCTCCCGGGTTCAAGCGATTCTCCTGCCTCAGCCTCCTGAGTAGCTGCACTACAGGTGCCCACCACCACACCCAGCTAATTTTTGTGTTTTCAGTAGAGATGGGGTTTCACCACATTGGCCACGGGTGGTCTCCTGATGTCACGTGATCCACGGACCTTGGCCTCCCAAAGGGTTGGGATTACAGGCGTGAGCCACTGCGCTCAGCCTTGTACACTTATTTATGTCTCTTGTCTGCAAGAATGTAGACTCCTTTTACACAGAGGCCTTGCCTGTCTTACTCTTGGGTGTAACACCAGAGTGTTCTATGCTCTGCCTACAACAGGGGCCTGGCATCTAGGAGGAATTCGGCCATAAAGGATACGGAGCATTGACTCTACACCATGCATTATGACCTTTGTTTTATTCTGTCAACAACCAGAGGAATAGGATGGTTATTATCTCTATTTTATAAAAGTGACAATGGGGGTGGGGAGCTGGGGAGGGATAGCATTAGGAGAAATACCTAATATAGATGATGGGTTGATGGGTGCAGCAAACCACCATGGCACATGTATACCTATATAACAAACCTGTACGTTCTGCATATATATCCCAAAACTTAAAGTATAATAAAAATAAAATTTAAAAGTGACAATAAAATGACATCTTTAATTGCTATTTTTTAAAACCTGCCATCCTAGACTGTATGGCCATGAAAATGTCCTTCACATAGGGAGACTAAATAAAGATGTTTCCAGTCAACAGGTGAGAGGATTTGCTGCCAGCAGATATGCATATCACACAAAAATACCTAAGAAGCAGTTTATCAGAGGAAAGGGTGGAAGTGTGTCAAGAAACAAAGAGCCACAGAAATGGTCAGTATGCGGATAAATGTAAAGGAAAAATGACTCTTGATGTCATCTTGTGGAATTTATAACATACAGAGTAAAATATGAAGACAGTAACAAAGGAGGAGAGGGAAATACATAAAGCTGAAGTCAAAGATAAGTACTGAGGCTGGGTGCGGCAGCTCAAGCCTGTAATCCCAGCACTTTGGGAGGCCAAGGAGGGTGGATCACCTGAGGTCAGGAGTTTGAGACCAGCCTGGCCAACACGACAAACCCGTCTCTACTAAAAAGGCAAAAATTAGCCAGATATGGTGGCAGGTGCCTGTAATCCCAGCTACTCAGGAGGCTGAGGCAGGAGAATCCCTTGAATCCAGGAGGTGGAGGTTGCAGTGAGCTGAGATTGTGCCACTGCACTCCATCATGGGCTACAGAGCAACTCCGTCTCTAAATAAATAAACAAATTTTTAAAATCAATATTCAAATTTCTAGGATAACCATCATAAGACTGAAGGATGTATAACCAAAAAGTTAACAGAAATTAAATATCTATTCAAAAGATGAGAACACATGGACACACAGAGGAGAACCAGAGACACTGGGGCCTATCGGAGTGGGAGGGACGGAGGAGGGAGAAGAACAGGAAAAATCACTAATGGGTACTGGGCTTAACCCCTGGGTAATGAAATAACCTGAACAAACCCCCATGACAAAAGTTTACCTATGTAACCAAACCTGCACATCTACCCCTGAACTTAAATTTAAACCAAGATAACAAGAGAAATAAGAGAACGGGAGACAAACGGAACAAATAGAAAACAAATAAGATGGTGTGCTGAAACTAAAATGAGTCAATTACTTAAGTGTGAATGGACTAAATATTTTAATTGAAGAATATCTGTTAAACTAGATTAGATACAAAAAGGCATACTTTAAATATAAGAGCATAAAACATTTAAAATAATGAAAAAAGATACAGTATAAAAACTAACCTGAAGAAAAGTAGGTACAGTCGTATCACATTCAGAGTAGATTTTAAGGCAAAATTAATCATTAAATATAGAGGACGTTTTATAAGATCATTCCCATATGAAGATATAGTAAGGCTAATCTGTATGTACCCAACAGTATAGCTTCAAAATATGTAACACAAATACAGTTAAAAGATTAGTTGAAAATTTAAACACATATCAATAACTGGGGGAACACACAAAGAAAATGATCAAGATACAGAATATCTGAACCACATAATTAACCAACCTGACCTAATTGGTTGAACAATTAGAACAATATACCCAACAAATGCAGTAAAGACACTTCCGTTTTTGTAAATGGGAAGAATGCTGCATCAGGCACCTCAGAAATGAGGTTATCCAAATGGCCAAAACGCATGACTCATTGGAAAATTTAAATTAAAACCACAGTAAGATACTACTACACCCAGGCCAGGCACGGTGGCTTATACCTGTAATCTCAGCACTTTGGGAACCCGAGGTGGGCAGATCACCTGAGATCAGGAGTTTGAGACCACCCTGGCCAACATGGTGAAACCTTGTGTGTACTAGAAGCGCAAAAATTTAGCCAGGCCTGGTGGTTCACAGCTATAATCCCAGCTACTTGGGAGGCTGAGGCAGGAGAATTGCTTCAGCCCAGGAGGCAGAGGTTGCAGCGAGCTGAGATTACACCATTGCACTCCAGCCTAGGTAACAGAGCAAGACTCCATCTCAAAAAAAAAAAAAAAAAAAAAAAAAAATGATAATACTACACCTACATGAAGTGACTGAAATGATTAGGGCTGATATTATCAAATGTTGTCAAAGATGGGGAGCAACTGGAACTCCCACATGTTACTTGTGAGAGTGTGAAAGCCACTTTGTAACTGGCCTAAGCAAAACATTCATTGTAGTTCAAATGCCTGCCTCTGGACAGGAAGGAGCTGAGCAAATAAGCCAGAACAGAGAAGCCACCTGATCTAACCAAAACCTTAATCCTCAGTGTGTCACTCCTGCTACAGTCTAAATGTTTGTGTCCCTCAAATTTTATAGTTGAAAGCTAACCATGAATACGATATTATTGAGAGGTAGAGTCTTTAAGAGGTAGTTGTGATGGAGGAAGCTACATGAATGGGAGTTGGGACCTTAATGGAGCAACCGCATCTCATTTTGCCCTTCCTTTCCTTCACCATGTGGGGATACAGCAAGAGGTGCCATTTACGAAGCAGACAGCAGGCCTTCAGACACTCAATCTCTGCTGACACTTCAACCCTGGACCTCCTAGCCTCTAGAACGGCAAGAAATCAATTTCTGTTCTTTATAAATTACCCAGTCTAAGATATTTTGTTACGGCAGCAGGAACAGACTAAGACAACTCCCTAAATGCAAAAAAAGAACTGTCCAGGAAAGTTTCTGAGCCCTTCTCTATCCTGTGATTGGCCTTCAAAACATCCCTGTCAAAAAGACTCATACTCTGCCCAGAGTTTCCTTTCTCTCCTACACCAACCAGATAGCAACACCCAAGACAAGCACTGTCCCTAAGACCGAGGTAGTTTGTTTTTTTGGTTTGTTTTTTCAGAGGGAGTCTCACTCTGTCACCCAGTGGCATGATCTCCGCTCACTGCAACCTCTGCCTTCCGGGTTCAAGCAGTTCTTCTGCCTCAGCCTCTCAAGTAGCTGGGATTACAGGCATGTGCCACCACACCTGGCTAATTTTTGTCTTTTTAGCAAAGACGGGGTTTTGTCATGTTGGCCAGGCTGGTCTCAAACTCCTGACCTCAGGTGATCCACCGGCCTTGGCCTCCCAAAGTGTTGAGATACAGGCATGAGCCACTGCACCCGGCCCCTGGTTGTTTCAGTGATTAGGGGAAGGGGGAGAAGGGAAAAGATTTACAAATACAAACATCTTTTCACTTAAAACGCAAGCACTTATTTCTATAAGAAAACCAGTAATATTCTGAAAATACGAACTCCTCCTTCTGATAAACTAAGATCAATTAATTGTGCTGAACCTAGCTGTTAATGTCTTGTTTCCCACCCCTGAGAAAACTCAACGCAAGAATAAAGGAAGGGAGGAAATGGTGGTGGTAAACATTGACTAGGGTTTCCGGATTTGACCAGCAAAAATGCAAGATTCTGAGTTAAATTCGAATTTCTGGTAAACAATGAATGATATTTGGGATATACTTAGAAAGTTGTTTTCTTAAATGCAATTCCATAGGGTGCTGATTCCAGTTCAATTTTAATTTTGGATACACAAGAGTGTTATTTGGAACATACACACACCAAAAAGAATTTATTGTTTATCTGAAATTCTGACTCAACTGGGTATTTTTTCTGGCAACCTTATCTAGACTGGAGTTCACTCGCTTTCATCCCATCCCAGAAGGAAGGATGCCATCAGCACCTGATTTATCTGCCTTACTAAAACAGTGACAGCTGTCCTAGAAAAGTTACAGGTTCCTGATAGTACTTACCAACTCACATTTAGAGGGTTCACCTGAAATGTGGATAAAAAGAACATTGAAGTGAATTAGTCGCAGTAAAGATCAAAGACATTTGAGAGATGGGAACGGGGGAACTAATCAGGGAGAAGGGGTAACAAAGAGAGAAAACAGAAGTCAAGGCTGAGTTCTGCCCATCACGATGTTGGCCACCAGGCAACTAACGGTGATTGAGATGAATCTGCCGCTATTCCCCTGTAGAACCTGGTCCAGCACGTGTGCTGGGTCATCTCAAAATACCAGGTAGCATTGAAGGCAACAGATAGACAGCAGAACAAAAGACTATTTTTTTGAGATGGAGTTTTGCTCTCATTGCCCAGGCTGGAGTGCAATGGCTCCATCTCGGCTCACTGCAGTCTTTGCCTCCCAGGTTCAAGTGATTTTCTTGCCTCAGCCTCTGGAGTAGCTAGGACTACAGGTGCCCACCACTACATCCAGCTAATTTTGTATTTTTAGTAGAGACAGGGTTTCACCATGTTGGTGAGGCTGGTCTCGAACTCCTGACCTTAGGTAATGCCACAGGCCTTGGCCTCCCAAAGTGCTGGAATTACAGGCATGAGCCACGGTGCCTGGCCCAAAACACTATGCTTGAAGCTACTGGTGTGTGACCCGCCCCCGCCCCCATGTCTCCCAAAGAGAAATCTCCAGAAGAGATGTATGTTAGGACCTACCCTGGCAGTCCAAATTCATTGGACTACTCCAGAAATTGCTGGAGAAAAGATGGGGGAAGGGCACACAGAGGAAAACTTGAAACATTATAGAAAAAAACCCTTTCAGGTATTAGCAGGGAGGGTAAAGACCAGGGAAAAAGCTTATTTGAGATTCAAATGGCATTAAGGCATCATCAAACACCGAGTAGAAGCTGAGCAAGGGGGCCAGGCACAGTAGCTTACGCCTGTAATCCCAGCGCTTTGGGAGGCCGAGGTGGGCAAATCACGTGAGGTCAGGAGTTTGAGACAAGCCTGGCCAACATGGTGAAACCCCGTCTCTACTAAAAATACAAAAATTAGCCGGGCGTGGTGGTGGGCACCTGTAATCCCAGCTACTCAGGAGGCTGAGGCAGGAGAATGACTTGAACCTGGGAGACGGAGGTTGCAGTGAGCCGAGATGGCACCACTGCACTCCAGCCTGAGCGACAAGAGCCAGACTGTCTTGAAAAGGAAAAAAAAAGTTACTCCATGCTGCACTTCTTTTCTCGTATGTCTCTTGTTTAAATTTTTAAAACAAGGAGACAAGAACTGAGGTCATCAGCCATCAACAACTCCTCCAAGATTATAGGGTTAGGTTCCCGTGAGCCTCTGGTCACATCTTCATCCACTAGTCAGTATGTAACCTTGTTTTATACGTGTTTCTGTTTAAGGACACCTAACTGAATACATATTGTTGATTCATTAACACTGAGCCCACCGCCACCAACACTATAGCTCATGCCTGAATGAAGCTCATCTAACACATGCATTATCTTCAGAACTCACATCCCTTCTTGTGTGTAGAGCACCAGACGGAACTTCCACACTACATGAGGGGGCATTTAGACAGCAAAGTCACCAAAGAAAAGCCCAAAAATACAAAAATAGGGCCCTAAGTAGCCCGCCAGCACTGCCTTCTCTGACCTCAGCTTGAATTTTCCCTGAGGCTGTGCACGTCCGAATGACTTGGAAAGCTCTGCAAATATTGATTTGGGGGTTGCCAGATCTTAGAGAGTAGACGAATTCCACAGACATGGAATCCACAAACAAAGAGGGTCGACTGTAATTAGGATGAAGCACGTTGGGTGTGAGACCCACACGGTGCCATGAAGTTACTACGTGGGACTCGAAAGGAAATTCCTCCAAACTTGAAGCATGCATCAGAATAAGCCAAGGAAGGTGGGAAGAGGATTAGGAGGTAGAGCAGTCAGTGAAAACAGCAAGTGCAAAAACCCTGGAGGGGAAAAAAAAACACCGGAACAGAGAAATTCAGCTAGAAAGTCTCACACGACTGCGGAATCCCCTTGGTTGAGGACATGGAAAGCTTCCAACTGAAGACGGAAGCGTGTGCAATCAATTCCTGCTCCTGAGTAAGAAAACACCAGCAGGACACAGTGGAGGGAAAGGTCCCAGAGAAAGACGAAACCTTAGAGCAGAGAGAGGAGACATCTCTTACCAAACGGACTTCGAATCTCATACGAGTTTCCAGAAGCTCTGACTTGGGAAACCCCCACAGAAGTAGTCACCGCCACCCCGTCCTCACCTGTGACCAGCCCTTGGGTCCGTCTTCCTCCTCTTAGCTGTGTCTCAGGGCCTCCTGGTTTATAGCTCTCTTCCCGCTCCCTTTCCCCAGCACAACTCGGGATCAGTTGAGAAGCCAAGACTCAGCTGCGACGTACGAGCTCTGGCTTTTCTCCTCCAGGTCTAGCTAATCACAGGCTTATTCAGGCTGGGAGGCAGAACTGGGTTTCTAATTAAAAACCATACTGTCCTGAAGTAAAGGGAGCCGTCCACGCCGGCAAAGAGCCACAGATGTGAGTAATGCCTGTGATGGCCCCTCCTACCATCTGGGAGATCTCACAGGGCAATGAAAGATGAAAGGGAGAACGAGTTCGTGAGACATTAAAATCACCGTTGCCGCCACTTACAGGACCATTTCTTCTTCCAAATGCAGGGGAAATGCTCCTTCATCCACTCCATCATGAACACAAAGGATTTTCCACTGAAGTCAGAAACAAGATAAGGATAGTCGTAACTCCACTGCTGTTCAACATTCTGCTGGAGACGTCAACCAATTCTATCAACAGTGTTAGCTAGTTTTAAGCTCAGGTTATAGGCTTTAAACTGGCAGTTGGAAAGCAATTAGTGAGAGGTATAATAATTGAAAAGCAACAGGTAAAACTATATGTGCAAACTTGATTACCTATCTGGACAATGCAAAAGACTGCATGAGAAAACTCCTGATGACAAGAGAAATTGGTAATACAGCAGGTAATGAAATAAGTATCAAAAATCAATAGACTTCAAATATGCAAACAAAAATAAAACAGTGGAAAAGAACACCCCTATTTACTATAGCAAAAAAAAAAAAAAAAAGGAAAATAAAATGCTTGCTTAAAAACTTAATATCCAAAACTGACGTAAGAAAAACTATAAAATGCATGTCTGCAAGACCCAAAAGTACACTTAAGCCTTAAAGAAATAAATACCATGTTTTTGCATGGAAAGCTCCACCTCATAATATATCACTTCTCTCTAATACAAATACGTCAAGGTTTTACCTGGAGGTACAGAAGTTGATTATAAAATTCAACTGGACAAATCGAATTTGTAGGAATGGCCTGGAAAATCCTGAAAAGAAGGAGTAAGGAAGAGGGACTAAACCTAGCAGATATTAAAATATACCATGAGGCCTTTATGATTAAAATATAGTATTGGCACATATGCAAATAGACTGAGCAAAGGAACAGAGTAGAAAATCCAGAAATATAATTATTAACATATACAAATTTGATAAATATTGCATCACTCATAAGTGAGGGAAATTGATTTTTAATAAACGTGGTGATGCTAGATCTGTTTCCTACACAACAGAATAATTTTCAAGCACATCAGAGATTTAAATGCATCAATAAGACCTGAGAAGCACCAGAAGAAAACAATTGAATTCCTCTCACACTTGATGGTGGGGAAAGCTTTCTTAGCTAAGTTTTAAAATTCAAAAGCAATTAGAGAAAAAATAAACAAATTTTATTACAAATGTTTTTTAAGCATTCATAACAAAGGATGTGTTAAGCAAGGTAAAAAGACAAACTATAAACTGGTAAATATATTTGCAACTTATAGCAGAAAGAGTTTACATGCCTAACTTTTGTTTTTGTTTTTGTTTTTGTTTTTTGAGACAGTCTCGCTCTGCCACCCAGACTGGAGTGCAGAGGTGACATCTCCACTCACTGCAACCTCCGCCTCCCGGGTTCAAGTGATTCTTCTGCCTCAGCCTTCCAAGTAGCTGAGATTACAGGCATGTGCTCCCATGCCCAACTAATCTTTCGTTTGTGTGTGTATTTTTAGTAGAGATAGGGTTTCACCATGTTGGTCAGGCTGGTCTCAAACTCCTGACCTCAAATTGTCCACCTGCCTCAGCCTCCTAAAGTGCTGGGATTACTGGCGTGAGCCACTGTGCCCAGCCTATATGTCTAATCTATAAGAGCTTTGAAAAATTACCAAAATGAAATGGAGAAATTAATAGTTGTTTGTAAACAAAGAAATGCCAATGACTCTTGACCATCTGAAAACATGCTGAATCCCCTATATAAGAAGAGAAATGCAAGTTCAAAATTATATAGAAGTCTCATTACTTACTTATGAGATGGCCGAAAATCCTCAAAGTTTGACAACACACTCTTGGCTATTTCCTGTAAACCTAATGAAAACTATTTTACCTTTGATTTTTCTCTCTGCTGATGTCTGAAGACACATCATCATACCGTTTGTGAATATAAAACCCATACATAGCCCGGGCTTGATGGCATGTGCCTGTAATCCCAGCCCTTTGGGAGGCTGAGGCAAGAGATCCCTTGAGGCCAGAAGTTCAAGCCAAAATGGATGGGCTGTTTAACATAGTGATATCCCCGATTCTACAAAAAATTAGCCATGAGTGCTGGCATGCACCGATGGTCCCTGTTGTCAGAGGCATGTGAACCAGAGCAACTCCATCTTGAAAAGGAGCTGGGTAAACTGAGGCTGAGACCTCCTGGGCTGCATTCCCAGATATTTAAGGCATTCTAAGTCACAGGATGAGATAGGAGGACAGCAAAAAATACAGGTCATAAAGACCTTGCTGATATAACAGGTTGCAGTAAAGAAGCTGCCAAATCCCACCAAAACCAAGATGCCCACGATAGGGACCTCTGGTTGTCCTCACTGCTACACTTCCACCAGCACCATGACAGTTTGTGGCCTCTGGTCGTCCTCACTGCTATACTCCCACCAGCACCATGACAGTTTATGAATGCTGTGGCAACGTCAGGAAGTACCCTATATGGTCTAAAAATGGGAGGCATGAGTAATCTACCCGTTGTTTAGCATATCATCAAGAAATAACCATCAAAATGGGCACCAGCAGCCCTCCAGGCTGTTCTGTCTATGGAGTAGCCATTCTTTATTCCTTTATTTTCCTAATAAACTTGATTTCACTTTACAAACTCGCCCTGAATTCTTTCTCGCACGAGATCCAGGGACCCTCTCTGGGGGTCTGGACCGGGACCCCTTTCCTGTAATGCCATTTACTGGAGAGGCTGAGGCAGAAGATTACTTGAGCCCAGGAAGCCGAGGCTGCGGGGTGAGTTATGATCACACCACTGCACTTTGTCCTGGGCCGTGGAAGGAGACCCTGTCTCAAAAATATGTAAATAAGATAAAATTGAAAAAAATTTAAAACTCCTATGTAAAAACTGCTGATATTCCAACATGAGTTGATGCAAACTTGATAAAGTTGGTTATCTTGTGGGTTTTCTCCCCAACAACTATAGGTGACTTTTTTTTTTTTTTTTTTTTTTTTTTTTGAGATGGAGTCTCGCTCTGTCGCCCGGGCTGGAGTGCAGTGGTACGATCTTGGCTCACTGCAAGCTCCGCCTCCCGGGTTCCCGCCATTCTCCTGCCTCACCCTCCTGAGTAGCTGGGACTACAGGTGCCCATCACCACGCCCGGCTAATTTTTTGTATTTTTAGTAGAGACAGGGTTTCACTGTGTTAGCCAGCATGGTCTCGATCTCCTGACCTGGTGATCCGCCCACCTCGGCCTCCCAAAGTGCTGGGATTACAGGCATGAGCCATGGTGCCCGGCCAACTGTAGGTGATTTTTTTTTAAAGAAAATTCCTCAAGCCAGTCCTTCCCAACGCCCCCTCCCTTGTACTCTGCTGGTGAGTTTTCCTTTTCCCACAAGCTCTGTCTCTGGGTCTCCCTGAGACTCAGCCCATTGTATGTGGGCCCTAGACTGGGCCCTGATGATCTTGAGACCCTCCTTTTTCTCGATACAATTCTATCCTAAGTAGAAGAGATGAACATGTAAACAAGATGAGCCAATGAATGGCTCTCGATGTTTCCAAATGGGAAGTGGCTCTTTCGGACTGAACACGGTGTTAGCCTTCTAAGGAGCCTGGGAAGCTCTCGAAACATGTAACTTCCTGTTGCTTGCTCTTCTAGACCTAAGAGGCAAGGGAGAGGTTCCTTTACAAATTGGAAGCACCTGTAGGATCAAGCCCTGCAGCCCATTCATTCTGAATCAAGGGAGCTAAATGCCTTCCAATCGGTGCAACGCAGAGGAATTCTAGTGAGCCAGCCTCCGCCAATGGGAAGAGAAGGTGCCAATTGCCTGACTTCCCCGGCCCCTATAAGGGTTGGGGGGTGGGGCAGAGCAGGTGATGTCTGCTTTGGGAGATGCTTTGGACAGGAAGGAGCCAGCAAGAATAATTCTCTGCAGGGGTGAGTTCTGTTTTTTGTTCTCTTCTCTTTTCCTCATCATCCACTTCCTTACAGTTACAATGGCTAGACCCTCCAGTTGGCCGCACCCAGTGGGTCCATATTGAAAATCAAAAGTGAGAGCTAGAGATTCAACTGCAGACATTACCAGCTCTCATTCAGAAAATCCTTGCCCATCTCTGAAACTCAGCTTTTCTGACCCCAAAGTGGAGTCCTAAATTCCCAAGTTTTCTTTCAGCTCTGAGGATCTGAGAGCCAGGAGACTCATAGCACTAGCAAAATTCTAAGACCTGAAAGACATATCGTGGGGTCTCCAGGTGTCCAGAGGTCTAGGGTCGCCACTGGCAGAGGCAGTCAGGAAAAAATCAAGATAGCTGTAGACGTGAAGAAGAAATCGCGAGGCACAGAGAAGAAAGCTGCAGGATTCAGCAGCACTGACTTTGACACTGCCCCTCTGCAAATATTCCTTCTCAATAAACGCAGGTGTCAGTCACCCACACAGCTCAGCTCATGGGCTTAGGAATTTGGTCAGGTTCCAACTGCTGGTTTCCAACACTCACAGCTTGGGCTGAATTTACTTAACTTAGTTCAACTTCCGTTTTCTCCTTTGTAAAATGAACGGAAAAGGATTCATGGGATATAATTCTTACCAAAACTTAAAGTTACATGGACTCTAGGGTGATCAAGACTCGACCACAGAACCAGATGGAGAAGACAGACTTTTATCTTTTAAAAATGTTTACCCATTAGAATACCGATGTTTAAAATGGAAAATAATCCGTGTTGGCAAGAATATGGAGAAAATGAAACTTTAGTGCATTGCTGATGGGGATGGAAAATGGAGAACAGTATGACGGTTCCTCCTGCTGACCTCAGGTGATCCGCCTGCCTCGGCCTCCCAAAGGGCTGAGATTACAGGTGTGAGCCACCACACCCGGCCTGCTTTTTAATG